TGTCGTTTTTATCACCTTTTATGACTTATGTCATTTTTATCACTTTTTATGCCTTAGTTTACTATGACGTTTTTTTGACTTTTTATGACTAACTATTCTATGTCGTTTTTATCACTTTTTATGCCTTAGTATACTATGACGTTTTTATGCCTTACTATCCTATGTCGTTTTTATCACTTTTTATGACTTACTATTCTATGTCATTTTTATCACTTTTTATGCCTTAGTATACTATGACATTTTTATGCCTTACTATCCTGTCGTTTTTATCACTTTTTATGACTTATGTCATTTTTATCACTTTTTATGCCTTAGTTTACTATGACGTTTTTTTGACTTTTTATGACTAACTATTCTATGTCGTTTTTATCACTTTTTATGCCTTAGTATACTATGACGTTTTTATGCCTTACTATCCTATGTCGTTTTTATCACTTTTTATGCCTTAGTGTACTATCAAGTTTTTTTGACTTTTTATGACTTACTATTCTATGTCGTTTTTATCACTTTTTATGCCTTAGTATACTATGACGTTTTTATGCCTTACTATCCTATGTCGTTTTTATCACTTTTTATGACTTACTATTCTATGTCGTTTTTATCACTTTTTATGCCTTAGTATACTATGACGTTTTTTTGACTTTTTATGACTTACTATTCTATGTCGTTTTTATCACTTTTTATGCCTTAGTATACTATGACGTTTTTTTGACTTTTTATGACTTACTATTCTATGTCGTTTTTATCACTTTTTATGCCTTAGTATACTATGACGTTTTTTTGACTTTTTATGACTTACTATTCTATGTCGTTTTTATCACTTTTTATGCCTTAGTATACTATGACGTTTTTTTGACTTTTTATGACTTACTATTCTATGTCGTTTTTATCACTTTTTATGCCTTAGTATACTATGACGTTTTTTTGACTTTTTATGACTTACTATTCTATGTCGTTTTTATCACTTTTTATGCCTTAGTATACTATGACGTTTTTTTGACTTTTTATGACTTACTATTCTATGTCGTTTTTATCACTTTTTATGCCTTAGTATACTATGACGTTTTTTTGACTTTTTATGACTTACTATTCTATGTCGTTTTTATCACTTTTTATGCCTTAGTATACTATGACGTTTTTATGCCTTACTATCCTATGTCGTTTTTATCACTTTTTATGACTTACTATTCTATGTCGTTTTTATCACTTTTTATGCCTTAGTATACTATGACGTTTTTTTGACTTTTTATGACTTACTATTCTATGTCGTTTTTATCACTTTTTATGCCTTAGTATACTATGACGTTTTTATGCCTTACTATCCTATGTCGTTTTTATCACTTTTTATGCCTTAGTATACTATGACGTTTTTTTGACTTTTTATGACTTACTATTCTATGTCGTTTTTATCACTTTTTATGCCTTAGTATACTATGACGTTTTTATGCCTTACTATCCTATGTCGTTTTTATCACTTTTTATGCCTTAGTATACTATGACGTTTTTTTGACTTTTTATGACTTACTATTCTATGTCGTTTTTATCACTTTTTATGCCTTAGTATACTATGACGTTTTTTTGACTTTTTATGACTTACTATTCTATGTCGTTTTTATCACTTTTTATGCCTTAGTATACTATGACGTTTTTTTGACTTTTTATGACTTACTATTCTATGTCGTTTTTATCACTTTTTATGCCTTAGTATACTATGACGTTTTTTTGACTTT